CTTTTAAATATACTGTAAATTAGAGTGTATTAGTGAATATTGGCCCGAATTAAGATTAATTTAGGCCAAGATTAAATTGATTTTTTTTAAATGTCCAATAAAAAAAGTTACTATGTCCAACCAATTTATTTGGACAATTGGACATTGTCCAAGTTTCCAAGTGTCCAAATTGTCCAAATGTCCAATATCGTAACATGCCATCCCTGATTATAGATGTTTAAATCAGCATTCCTGAAATATATAACTTATTTATATCAAGTAAAGGTCTCTTGAAGCTCTAATAAAAGTTGTAGAGACAGTTTTTCTGATTCTAATGGTGGTTAAATCATCAAAATCGGCTTGTTGGATCGCGAGATATAGTCATCTTTATCTTCGACTATATAATTTTCTTTGCAGATTTGCAAAGAAATTTTATATAGTCGCGAAGATAAAGATAACTATATCTCGTGACCCACCAAGCCGATTTTGATGATTTAACCACCATTAGAATCAGAAAAACTGTCTCTACAACTTTTATTAGAGCTTCAAGAGACCTTTACTTGATAAGAAAAAGTTATATATATCAGGAATGCTGATTTCAACATTTATAATAATACTTATAAAAATCACCCCACTTTTTATTAATGAAATATTCCTCCACTATCGCGAATCGTCAATTAAATAAATTTTATAAATTATAGGATATACAAAAAAATTTATTAAATTATTCTAATAATTATTTATCAATTACGCAACAAATACTATACTGAATTATAATTTTTTATTTAATTTATAATATTCTTTTTCTGCAAATTTTAAAAAGAATTGTAATAATGTTGTATCTATAAAATTAATAAATACAGTACCCTTTTGAGCATATTTATTTATATTTAATTGAATTAATTACTTTATTTTGTTTTGTTAGACAATATTTACGAAGAAAATTAGTTAATTGCTAAAAAGATAAGTAAAATTCAATGTTGTTAGTATATAAAATAAATTTTTATAAAGTATAATAATTTATTAAAGTTTAAAATGTTAAGTATTACAAAAGAAATTAAAAGCAAACATAGGCTATTCCAGATTTCCGTTGTATACCTTATACAATAAAAGCATAAGAGATAAAATTCCAACCAATGTACTGATAATAATTCCAATAACTAATTTAGTATTGAGATTCTCGTGTTGTGGTGGTGGATATTGTGAAGGATTTGGAGATTTACTCAACTCACATGTGGTAACCCAGGTATAGATTCGTACGTCAAGAATATAAGTAGCATTGTATAATTTCTCTGATAATTTGGATGTTATTCGACCTAAATATATAAATAGGTTTAATATTATTACGGTAATAAAATTTTAATAATGCAATAATTACCAAATGCAACAATCATGCAATCATTAAAGAATGCAGCAGAATGGTATGTAAGCGGTGGTTGTGGTGCATTTGCATTAGAATTATTTATAATAAACCATGACCAGGTAGTTGTATTTAATATTGCAAGTTCTGGTATTGCCGTGTCGAATGTGTCAGTGTCTTTTGAACCTCCATATATAATAATATTTTCATTTGAACCTCCATATATAATAATATTTTCATTTGAGGCTTATACAGACAAATTTTTTGCTAAAAATCTACATTGAATTTCAATTTTTTTAACAAACTTATATTCACATACCTAAACGGCTGAATGTCCAATACGACTATCAATGGGATCATCGCTTGCTTCCTAAACGAATAAAAAACGAATTTAATTATTCAATTATAAGAATAATTACCGAAATTAATTATATATATACTTTAGAAGACCAAGTATAATCTGTTGTATTAAATACTGGAATCTATATTAGATAAAAACTTTTGAAAATATCCATATGAAATATATCAATGTGAAATTATAGCTTTACTTAAACGATACCTGACTCATATTAACCAGGTTTAAATAAACGCCTTGATTTTCTAGATTTACATTTAGTTGACGTCCACCAATATAAATAATAAGGCCATTAGGTAATAATGTAGCGGTATAATCAATATATGGAAGGATACTCTGAGGGTATCTTATTGTTGACCAATTCATTGTAATGATATCAAGTATATTCATATCATTAAAAAATGAGTTTGGAGAAGGTGGTGAATTTCTGATATAATTTATTCCTCCAAACATAAATATTTTCCCATCATAATCAATAACAGCTTGCATACTATTGCGTCCTATAAAACTATTATTGAACCCTATAATATTCGGCATTGCCCATTTTGAAGTATTAGAATTAAAAGTATTCACATTCTGAATGAAATCTTCAGTGTTTGTTTTTGGATTAAATTTCCTTCCGCCAACTAAAAAAACCGTATTATTATCAATAGAGCTAACACATGAAGTACCGGATTCATATTTTACTGGCATTGAGCCATCTGTATTCCATGGTGGTATAGTTATATTAAATGGACTCGATAGATCGAGATACCATACTTCATTAGAAACGTTTGTATATGAAATGATTCCTCCAAAGAAATAAAGTTTCGTACCAACCAACGCACTAGTTTGTTTATATCGGGATTAGGATTATTTTGGCTGGTAGTAAAAGATAATACTAAACTCAATATAAAAAAGAAAATATTATTATTAAAACTATTCATATTAACTAAACATTATTAATTTTTCAAGACATTAAATAATTCTCATGAAAATTCCGTATTTATTTTTTGTTACCAATTTATTATCGTTATGGTTACATTTCAAGAGTCTTGTGAAATAAATCGTTTGACATGTCATATATATATATAGAATATTTTAAATTTACATATATTATGTATATATAAAATATAACTTATTTACAATAATTAAATAAATTTATGTATAAAAGTTTTCATCATAATTAAAAATTTTTTCGAACTTTCTCTACTACTTTTTTCACCATTTTCTAAGCACTGGCGTTAGTATAATTTTTATATGAAGATTTATGATAGTCACCAAAAAATTTAAATAATTTCAATATAATGTCATGCAACAAGACAATGAAACTAGTTAATAAAGTTAAAAATGGAATAGCCGTATATTCGATAGTGTAACGGAGATATAAAACCTAAAAATAAAATTAATTTTAAAATTTAAAGATTTAAATTATTTAATATACATATAAGCAATTTAAACAAACCTGGATAATTAGTTGTGGAATATTTTCGATAAAAGTATCAATTATAGTCACCCAATATATCCAACGTTTAACAGAATCGGAAAATGGAGCATTAAATATTAAAAATCCAGCAAAATTTGAAGTTAAAAATTCCAGTAAAGATACATTTGCTCCTGAACACACTGTGAAAATTGAAATAATGTTTTTATATTTAATAAACCATTGAATGAATGGCTCATTCATCTTTAATTCATAAATTATAAATATAATTGCCGAAGTCAAATTAATTGCTATTGAAAAAACTAGTATCACAATGCTTTTTATAAATGTGAATTAAAAAAAAAGGTCAAATTATTATAATTAGTATTTATTTCAATATTTGAACCATGTTACACTAGTCTCGATAAACATTCTACTCTTATTATAGCATAGAATAATTTAAAATTATAATTATGTTATATAATAAATTAGCTTAAATTTATTATATAAATTCCATCTGATCCGCTATAATAAGAATTGAATGTAATTATATTGTGAACCAAAATTAAAAGAATTTGATAACATTATGAGTATTGCCAAATAATTCTTAAGATTTTCGAGATTTTATTTGTTAATATTCATATGTTTAGTTGTATTTATATCGAGCTCGTTAATAATATATTTTATGACTAACCTGGGAATATAAAGATCCAGTTGTGAAACTTCTTTTCCATTTTTTACAATAAACAAAATATCCATAACTAAGTCAAGCAAGATAATTGCTGCGCTAAATATCATAAAGTTTTGTCCCTATATATACAAAAAGTCCATAAAAATTAAATAATCAGAATTAAAATTACAAGCTAGAATTAAAAAGATTTTAGATTAATTGCAAGATGAAATTTATATATTGTGTATAGAACTTCGCTAGGTTAATACTATATCTAGCATTTTAAATAATAACTTATAAAATTTACCTCCGGATATTTACGACTGGCACATAATATAACAAGGCCTAGAATTATGGATCCAATTAACAATCCAAGTAATTTGAATTTAATATCATCCCAAAAATTTACTATAATATGTAAAAAAAAAACTTGTTAGGATTTTTTTTGATGTGAAATATAAATTTAAAATAACTCACTGTTCACCCTAAATCCGTATGATGAGTTCAAATATTTTGTGTAATTATTTTTATATATTAACGAATTTGTATCATTTATTAATTCATTTAAATTGTTAATGATTTGAGAAGTGCTAGCTTGACAAGGATCTTGAGTTGGTAAAATTTTTAATTGTATTGTATATTGAGGAAGTGATGTTGATGAATCATATTGATATTGATATCGATTTGTATACTGTAGTCTATTTGGTGGATTTATAGGAATACTTTCTACAAGTTCTCTTGTCACATTGCCAAAAATTTCTGATAATGAATCATTTTTTATATTATCTTTAAGAGTTAATCGTATAGTACCTGTAGCCGTATCTTTAGAAATTATTAGTCAATTTTTATTTAAATATATTTAACTTTGTATTATATAATTTTACCTGAATATAATTCTTTATTACTTTCTACAAGATGCAAAAATATTTTTAGTCAATAATAAATCATTACTTGCGTGCAATATAATAAATACGTAACCATGCTCACTCGAATCACATGGAATTGTTGTAAAATTCCATCGATATGCTTCAATACCATACATAGGCTCATTTGTTGCGGAAAACATAACAAAGTTATTATCCATCACAATTACGTATGTGGTATTCCATTGGTTAAAAATACTTGAAGTGACACTACAAGAAAGATTTCTACTAAATGAAATATAACAATCTGAATTCCCAGAATAAAATTTTCTGAAATTTAATTGATTGTTGCTCGTATCAAGTTGATAAATGGTAATATTATTCAAGGACATAGAAATGTTGCTCGAAAAAATTATGTTGATATTATGGATACTTTCTGGTATAATAGTATTATCGTTGATTTTGGGATAAGTTGAAATAATATTCGGATTGTCATAGCCCCCTAATACAATAAATTTGATTAAAATTACTGATAATAAATATAAAATTTGAAGAATAATAAATTGATTTTTATGAGCTTACTATCATTTCTAGACTTTGGCAAATCCATACTAAAAATATCCCATTCATTTGCAGAATACCTTACATATAATATATATGTATTATTTTTCATTAAATCAAACACTGCACCCTGAAAGACTGATTTGCTCTGGTTAAATTGATTCAATTGAGTTAAGCTCCATGTTATTTCAGTGCCATTAAGCATAATAACACTTCCAGTCATATCTGCATAATTATTTGATGGACTTATCGGTATTACGCTGGGAATTTTTGTACGTGTTTGAGGCGTCGATGTCCAACTAGTTACAATCGATCCACCAAAAAATGAAGGATGAATATCAAAATATAAATCGTTATTATTTGTATTATTTTTTATTGTGGTAAATTTAATTACGGAACCAGATGATAAAAAATTTATTTGATATATCATAAACAGTGTATAATTGGCAAATTTTTCAGTTGGTTCAGTAATCATGCATACATTTCCATATTCACTATAATCTGACGAGCATGAAATGTTTGATATTTCACTAACATTTCTTGCATGATAAAGTAAAGAATTTTCGGAAATTTTACTAGTTTTTGAATTTAAATACTTATAATATATGAATATATTTGTCATAGATTCATTCAAAATGGTCATATGTTCTTGATTTTCAATAATAAACCCATAATTTCCATCAATCATTGGAAATACAGTTTTAAAGCTAAAGGTATCCAAGTTAAAATTACCATAATTTGTTGCGTAGATATTTGGATCACTTATTTGCCTAATACATTTATAATTAAGTTATAAGTAATTTTGATTCAACACAAGACCTAATTTTATGCAAAACGTTACTTACGGTAAGTTATATGTGATCCAATAAACTAATGCTTTATTTATGTTATAGATTAAGAAGGATGACAATTGAGTATCCATGATAAGATTCAAAGTAATTCCGTTATATTTATTAGTAGTTCCATTTGCTACAAAAAGATTACTATATATTCAAAAATATAAGTGGAATTTATTGAAAGTTTCAAAGATGATAAAAAAATTTGATACAAACTCTTTTAAAATTTTTTTGTTGTAGTCTAAAACTATCCCAGTAACTTGCATGCTGCCATCAAAATTTTGATCATAAAGTAGAAAATAATATTGCATAGTTAAAGGAAATATTCTTGTCACATTTTTACGCAAAAACTTAAGGTCGATATCTATTGTAGATCCGTTTGGTAATAGTGTATGAATGGATTTGTACTGATTGTCATTGTCCTTGAGCATAACTGAGAGACTACCATCATAAGTTGATCTCACATCGTTATAACCAGGTAGATCATTTCTGCTACTCGAATATATATTACGATATTGTAATTGTCCATAAACAGTAAAATTATATAATAATGAAAGAATAAAACTAAAAAGAACAAAATGGAATATAAAGTTTTTTAAGGTATTGGCTAAATTATTGTGTTGAAGATCCATTTTACGAAATTTGTGAAATAATTTTGTGGAAACGTGGGCTTATTTATGAAGGATAGTTACTGCGCTGATAAATATTGGAATTTAGGATCATATCCGTCAAGAAATCTCTATTAGGGTACGTATTATTAAATTACCCGGTTATCCGGGCAATTTATTATAGCCATATACGTAGTATATAAAATAAAATTTATTATGAATTATGTACAGTTTTCGGCATCATGAAAATTCCATAACAGAATTGCTAAATATAGAATGCAATGAGAAAATTTTACGGGTGGCTAAACATTTATGAAGAAAAGTATGCTATTTTTGAATACTTGTTTTCTATAATTTGTGTTTACTATATAACAATAATAGTTTCATCATAATATAATAGGTGTATACGTATGCCAAATAAACTTTTTGTTATATTAAAAAAAGAAAATAAACTGCTATTGGATGCTCCGCACTAATAACAGTCGCATCTTGCTACAGTTGTCGTCCAAACCTAACTAGTTTGTGACTTTTAGCATTAACTATATTTGAACTAGCTAAAAGCTTTTTTTATATAGCGATATAGCCCAAAAATTAGCAATAATATCTTGGCTTATCGGGGATTACGCTGTAATGACGTTATCATTATGCTAATGATAATCCGTACTGCCACTTGATCGACTTACGCGGTTGATCAGTGGCTATATGGATTATCGGGATTATCCAATTCTGATAATTTTCATGAGAATTATTTAAAATTTTTGTAAAATTAATAACGTTTAGGCCGCTTGAAATTGAATTTTCGGTTAACAATATTTTTAGAACTATTGGAAGAGGGGGAAGGGAGTAATCCTACTCGAAATTTTATCAGGCGGCTACTATGATCGTCAGAAAATTCGCGATCAGGTGATCTTCAAAATTTATATTCATTTTTTTTTTGCAAGGAAAACGGGACTTCAATTATATAAAACGTATATGATTGAAGCCCAGTTTTTCTTTGGCGTCACTCATATTTAAAATTTATTAATGGTATTAACAATTATATAATCAATACCTATATCATGATTTCATGTAGGTCCGGAAATCACCTGATCGCGAATTTTTTCACTTAGTATCTTGAGTTCTTTTTATGATTATTAAAGTCTTTAAATAACTTCGTTATTTAATAATGACGTAATAATCGCCAAAAGAACTCGAATCATTCTGTTTGTTCGATCGTCGCAAGCTACCGGGTAATACTTTATCGGATCCTAGGCAGTGATGTGCCATTTATATGATGCCTGAAAAATTTTAGCGTACAGTACTAGGGTGTCGCACGGCATATTTTATCGAAACTGTAATTTGCTATATTGCAGATTTTCATGTTACACAAATAAAAATCGATTTCATGTTATCGTTATTTGCATTACATATTATTCGATCAAATAAATTACATATTATTTTCTATTAAATAAATTGTCAAATAATATATCTGCTTTTTTTCGCATTCGTCATCATTGAGATTTTCTTTTTCCGTGTTTTGATTATATGCTGATGTTTTTTGATTCTAAGCTCTGTTAAGTCTAAAGAGTTACAACCAATTTCTTTAAGCGCCATACTTGATAACAGTAGTTTCGATTGCTGAAGATCACTTTTCATGTTCGGATGGGTTTTAAGATCCCACTTATTTATAATGCCTTCTAGTTGCTGTTTGTGAATTATAATATGCCAGATTTGGTTTTTGACAAAGTCCAATAGCTTGAAAAGTTGATTTAAAGGCTTTCTTTCTTGAATAAATTCATAAAATTCATAATTAAATATCGGATCTTTTAATGCATTTGATAATCCAAAGTCATTAACTTCACCATGCTTGATGTCTAATTCAATAAACTTCATATAGCATAACTCTTGTAATAAAGGTACAGATAGCCATGGTATTCTTCCTAAAACAATATAAGCATAACTATATGCAAATTCTCATCCATACTTTCCACCTAAATGATATATACTTAAGAGCAAATGTAACTAACAGTTTAACCACTTTTGATGAAGATCTAATGCCTTTTGAGTGCCATATTCAAGACCTGAAATAAGTTTGTTAAATTGATCATCATCTGAATTATTAGTGCTTTCTAATAATTCATCATTAAAAAAAGAATATGGATCTTCAACAAAGTTTTGAAGTTTCATTGTCAGGTGTGCAACAAAATCAGGTATTTGATATACTCTTTGATCAGGGGAAAGCTCTATCAATTCTGAATCATATCTCATAAGAAACTTAACCATTAGATAGTAGAAATCTTGTCTGAAGCAAACTAAAAATTTAATCTGAATATTTAGAACCGGGTCATGAAGCTAGTTTTTAAAAAGTTTCTATTTTTTAATATATGTTTTGGGTGTATTATTTTGGGTTTTAAGATGAGACAAAAACCAATCTGCAAATATTTCTTCATTCTAGATATTGCTCAGTATATACTAATTCATAAAGCTATTTTGATCAAATTGGCTGCTAATATTTTGTTAATTGATATTGAAACTGTTCCTCATAAAGTTTATAAATATGATCTGATTGAATTTCAATTGATTTATTTTTGTCAGTCTTGTTGTATCTATTGAGAAAATCCCACATCAAATATAATAAATTTACTAGAATTTTCTTCTGTGAAAATCTACTAATATTAGAAAATTTGCCAAAAGCAACTTTTTCAAAATTATTTATAATAATGTAAGCAATGTGAAGCCTGCATAGAATTTAATTATTTTAGTGCTATTTGATTTATTAATTAAAGTAATAGCACCTTCAGTTTTATTACTTATGTAGTTAGTATTGTCTAATATGCAAATATAATATTGTTGAAGATTTATTTAATAATAACTAAGAGTATTATATATAGCTTGAATTACTCATCCGCATCTATCTCCTTCATGAACTCCAACCTCTTATCTATCCCAACCCACCAACCCTTCAAGTTCCTGGGGTGC